CACCAGGTACAGGCCTGTCTTCTGCAGTTTCCTCTCTTAGCTCACTGGCTTTTGAATGCTATAATTAAGCCACATGAGCTATCCCTGTGCTTCAGGGGAAAGAAGACGTTTAGGCCTTGGTCCTGAGTGCTCCCAATTTGAGTGACATCAGCTGGCTTCAGGCATGAAGGGCTGTGAGCAGGGTCTCAGGAGAGGAGCCCAGCCCGATCCTCACATTCTTGTGCAAGACCATAACAGGGCAACCCACTATTCCTCTTCAAGACCCCTGACACTGTCCCCACTGGGCCACGCTTCTTGTCCCTATGAAGGGGAAGACAGTAAAATCTGAAAGGGAACTTAAAACTGAGGTTATACTTGAAAAGTCCCTAGCTCACTCAGCGAGGGAGTCATGAGGCCAGAACAGCAGCAGGCAGCTTTAGGAGCCTCCCGCGAAGGGCTCCTTTGTCAGAGGAACTCGGGGGCCTGGCAGTCAGTGTGGGCACTTCAAACGCCCCACATCAAGTGCCTAAGAAGATTCAAAGAGAAAAGTTACCCACCTACCTGGGGCAAAGCTTCCCTCCCTGAGGCACCTGCTTTTTGAAACTAAGACAAGTTTCACAACTTTGGCTGGATCCTGCAATGACAGATCTTCCAGGCTGGAAAAATCCTTCTGATTGATGCCCTGCAAGGAGGGCATCAATCAGAAGTGGTCCCCACTTCTTGGGTCAATGTTCCCAACCAGGTCATGGGGTGACCTGCCACTCTGTGCCAAGGAGACCAGTAACTTCACACCACCACTCAACGAGACAGATTTAGTCTGACACTGAAGGAACTGGTCCTTTCATCTGTATCTTCAAAAAATGCACGTGGAACTTCCTTCAGCAAATCCCCATGCATAGCCCATGTCCAGTTCCCTATCCAGCAGCCAACAGCGTGTAGCTGCAGCCTGCTCTAGGCTGGAGAGAGCAGCAGGGGAGCTCAGGCTGGATGTGGGTCTGGCTGCAGAGAAGGAGGGTCCAGCCATTCAGCCAGTATTTACTGGGCATCTCCTCAGAGCCAGGTGCTCTGCTGGTGCCAAGG